CCGAGTTTACTGCGTAGCCCGTGGCATTCACTGTTTAAATTGCCCAGCAGAAGTAATCACGACAATTAAAGTGTAAGCCCTTTGTTCAGCCAGGTGAGAGCTATTTAATACAAATTATTCTATCCAATGGCGTCTCGAGGAAACTGCCCACGTATGGACGGATGGTTGTTAATCTCTTCTGATGTGCATTATGGCAATGCAGAAACCGCGAGTTATGGTTGGTGAATTAAAAGGAAGATTTGCACCTGCGTGAGATACCGTGAGGGCAATGATAGAGCTGCTCGGTCAGTGGTGACTCATCCCCCAGCCACCGATCCTGCCAACTTCCCGTCCCTCTTTAAGTCCACGCTTAGACCTTCCTTTTATTCTCTGCCGATGATTGACTGTCGTTTCCTCTCTATAAATTAAACGTGCACACCGTATTCTGCGCAGCGTCGTGAGATGACTTCGCTTTGGATGCTAAATAATTCCAAAGCGTATTATGCCGTGGAATCGGTTTAACGCACGAATAGTCAGCGGCAAAATCGATTTCACTTGTACATGAATAATGTTTTCGCTTTACTATTGATCCATATTACGTGCAAGTTATATCGCTAAATGGTGTGCTGTATTTACACTCATGGGGTAAAATAGGAGAAATGAAACGGAGCAAACAAGAAACAATCGAAACGAGGCAGTACAAATGAGACAATACATTGATCATTTCTCGCATCAAAACCTCACAATTCCCATACTTGGCGATTTGGAGGGGGAGGGGGGCGCGGGCAGTAGGGCGGTGGTGAGTTGCTGCATGCCAAGTACCTACAGGAGACAGTACAGCAAGTAGGCTATGACGTATCCGTGTGAAGTCTGGGCGTTTCCGTACATAACTGTGGGTTTCCCTCTGGCTACCGATTTCCTCCCCCCCAAAAAAAATTTCCATTGGAAAATTCAGAATCTCTCTTGAAAAAGAGACTTGAGACTCAATGATGTTTTTTTTGTACACAAACAAAATATTAAAACAATGTAATCTTTAATAATTGTTGGTAATTGTATATGTCAACGCTTGAGCACCCCTTCTGTATAATTGCCCGGATGCGTTTAACGGACAGCGCACGTTTGCATCGGCGTTTAGCACGATGAACACTCATATGCCGTTGAATATGGATTTAAGAATTGACGTTGATCTAATTACCAGTGAAATATCGAAATCGTGCGCTTGCGTGTGTTACTTTGACGTTCTGGCCCAGCGTCAATGACTTCGTATAACTATTACAAAGCACGTTTGACGACGAGGATATAAAATGCCATTCCCAGGTATCATTACAAACTGAAAATATATGACGCTAAATAGCTGATGCAGTCCTACAGATAATTCCCATATACGATACCCCTTTCATTGTAATCATGTTACTTTTTGTTAGGTAAAATATGAATGTTATATTCATGCTGTTCAATAAATCCTCCAAAATATATGACGCTAAATAGCTGATGCAGTCCTACAGATAATTCCCATATACGATACCTCTTTCATTGTAATCATGTTACTTTTTGTTAGGTAAAATATGAATGTTATATTCATGTTGTTCAATAAATCCTCCAACATATATGACGCTAAATAGCTGATGCAGTCCTACAGATAATTCCCATATACGATATCCCTTTCATTTTAATCATGTTACTTTTTGTTAGGTAAAATATGAATGTTATATTCATGTTGTTCAATAAATCCCCCAAAATATATGACGCTAAATAGCTGATGCAGTCCTACAGATAATTCCCATATACGATACCCCTTTCATTTTAATCATGTTACTTTTTGTTAGGTAAAATATGAATGTTATATTCATGTTGTTCAATAAATCCTCCAAAATAAAGCTGACATTGCGCCACAAAAACCTGCATAGCAGAAAACTTGTACCAGAGCAAAAAAAAATTGATGCAAGGAATTCTGATGGTAGGGCTTCCACTCTCACTTAACAATAATAACTATTACAGTATTGTCATCAGCTTTTACTGTACAGTCTTTCGATCGGATTTGTATCTATGCTTGATTTTTTTTATGTACAGAGCTTTGAGATAATTCGATATGAAAGGCGCTTTTATAAAACAAATAGTATGATTGTTGAAGATTATTAGGGCGTGACGTTTGTCCACATTTTCTTGAATTAAAATTGTGGCCACCATATCTGATGGCTTTGATGGAGGAAAGTGTTTGTGCGCAGCCAGCCCATTGGTTTGAGATGGGAGCGCATGCACATTTCCTCCAAAGTGATTTTTTTTGCCGCTTCGATTGGCAAATTCGCCTCTAGGAATGAAGGCTTTCAAGTGACCGTGCCCTACATCCGTCCGTAAAGGTGCTGTTGTATTCACCGATGAGCGAGAGAGCCGAGATTCCCATGGACCTTTGCTCTGTGCTGCTCACCCTGCCCCAGCGTTACTCATCGAGCTCCCAAGAGATGCACAGCGGCCACGTGTCAGTTCAGCGATTCGGATCCCAATGCGAATTCACAAATAGATTATTTTCCACCTCTCATTTTTACAGTCTAGGTGAGATTTCCCCCCCCCCCCCCAGTCCACTCTGCATTGCTCCTCGAAACTTCGTTTGCGCAGTTCAGTTCACTCTGTGAGCCTAAATATCACTTTGTTCTGCCTCGACTGTTGCGGATGAAGGCCTCCCCCGGCCATGTCGGCCATTGGGGGTTGTTTGACCATACTTCACCATGCTGGTCAGTGTGGATTGTTGAAAGGGAAGCTCAGGACAGGGTCGCCGATGTTAGCTGTGGCAGGTGAATTGAACTCACGATGTTTGGCGTAGTTCTCCAACCACTGCACCAACCCTTGCTCCCTCCCACACAACAACAATTGTTGACGACCGATTCTTCGCTTGGTTCGCGAGGAACGACAATTTGACAGTGATGTGGAGGGAGACGAGGCGGATCTGACAATCAACGCAAGACCGCGCCCGCGGTGAGAAGGAGGGTGACAAAACGTGGCATCTGCAGTGGTGAGAGAGGGGGGGGGGGGGTGACTTCTGGTCGCCTGATGTCCCCACACATTCGTAACCCAGATACCAATTAAAAGTCTCAACAATTATTGTTTTTTTAATGATTCGAAATAATAACTTTTTTCCCCCTCACAACATTTTTCTTCTACAAACGTATCATGGGGCGTTTATTTCTTCCATCCCTCCCCCCCCCCCCCCCCGTTTGCAGTTCTCTCTGGGTCTCAAGACGTCCTTGTGGATTGCCCCTGAATGCCGTTGCCGTGTTCTGATCTTCTGGTGCGTGTTTCACACTCGGCCTCGCGTGTGCCGAAGCAGTGATTCTTCCTCCTCCTCCTCTCATCTCGCACCCTCTGCTCATCTGTTCCCTTTTTTAGTACGTACGCTTAAAAAAAAAGTAATGATTGAACGGTTTTGCCAGCTTTCCTCTCCGCCTCCTCCTACTGCCAACTCCCCACTTCCTTCCCTTATTGAGTACGTCTCGATATGCATTCATCCCTGGCTCTACACATCTGCGACCACAATGCCGTCTGTACTCCAAACCCCCTTATCACAACTCGTCAGCTCCGAACAAACTCCCCCCACACTTCCCCCCCCCCACTTCCCCCCCACTTCCCCCCCCCCCCCCACTTCCCCCCTCTATCTCTCCTCTCCCCACCAGCCTCGACCCCGCCCCCTCAATGGGACCATTCCTTTACATCTCCCCGGTCCAACAGCCCAGCAGTGCATAACAACCACCCTCACTCACCCTCAACCACCCTCACCCACCCACACACTCACTCACCCACCCTCACCCACTCTCAACCACCCACACACTCACCCACCCTCACCCACCCACACACTCACCCACCCTCACCCACTCTCACCCACCCACACACTCAACCACCCTCACCCACCCTCACCCACCCACCCTCACCCACCCACCCTCACCCACCCTCATCCACTCTCACTCACCCTCACTCACCCTCAACCACCCTCACCCACCCACACACTCACCCACCCTCACCCACCCACCCTCACCCACCCTCATCCACTCTCACTCACCCTCACCCACCCTCACCCACTCTCAACCACCCACACACTCACCCACCCTCACCCACCCGCACACTCACCCACCCTCACCCACCCTCACCCACCCACCCTCACCCACTCTCACCCACCCTCACCCACCCTCACCCACACCCACACACTCACCAACCCTCACCACCCTCACCCACTCTCACCCACCCTCACCCACCCTCACCCTCACCCACACCCTCACCAACCCTCACCACCCTCAACCACCCTCACCAACCCTCACCCACCCTCACCCACCCTCACCACCCTCACCCACCCTCACCACCCTCACTCACCGTCACTCACCGTCACTCACCCTCAACCACCCTCACTCACCGTCACTCACCGTCACCCACCGTCACCCACCCTCAACCACCCTCAACCACCCTCAAACGCGACCCTTCTGCTCCCCTCCACCTCTCCAGCACCGCTCACCGTCTCGCCACCAAAACCCTCGCTCGCTCCCTCCCCTCCCTCCCTCCCCTCCCTCCCCCCTCCCTCCCCTCCCCTCCCTCCCCTCCCTCCCTCCCTCCCCTCCCTCCCTCCTCCCTCCCCTCCCTCCCTCCTCCCTCCCCTCCTCCCTCCCCCTCCCTCCTCCCTCCCCCTCCCTCCTCCCTCCCCCCCTCCCTCCCCCCCTCCCTCCCCCCTCCCTCCCCCCTCCCTCCCTCCCCCCCTCCCTCCCTCCCTCCCTCCCCCCTCCCTCCCTCCCTCCCTCCTCCCTCACTCCCTCCCTCCCCTCCCTCCCTCCCTCCCCCCTCCCTCCCTCCCTCCCTCCCTCCCTCCCTCCTCCCGTCTCCCTCCCCGACCACGGCGCAATCCGCATCCACGTGGACCACCCCGCACGATCTCGCGCAGCCCCCCTCCATCCGTGCTTGCGTGTGCGGCGGGGGTGGGTGGTGGGTGCCGTGGAGGGAGGGGAGTTGGTGGTGGTGGTGGTGGTTAGTGGTGGTGGTGGTGGTGGGAGGTGTCGGCGCGAGGATGGGAGGGTGCGTGTAGCCGAGAGGAGCCCCGCGGCTGAGGCAGTAGCAGCAGTAGCAGCAGCAGCAGCCGCTCCCCCTGCGCGCTCCGCACAAGCTGCGCATGAGCTGCCGCACAGCGCTGCGAACATGAGCCAGGGCATCTGGAAGCTGTACAAAAGCAAGTCCATGAAAACGCTCGTACCTGACAGAGAGGACGACGCTCGGCTCTCGACGTGCAAGGTCAGTTCCACTCGCCACTCCCCTGCCCCCCCCTGCCCCCCCTGCCCCCCCTGCCCCCCCTGCCCCCCCTGCCCCCCCCCGGCTCCGTGACCCCCCCCCCCCACCAACCCCCATAAGGCTCCCACCCCGACCCCTCTCCTGTCCCTTCTGCCCGTAGCTCTTGCCGTTGATTTCACACAAAGCGTTGCGGCGGGGGGGTGGGGGGGGTTGTTGTTGCTCCTTCATTCTTTCCACAATTCATGGCCTCAAGTGGGAATCGGCACCGTCGGCATGACTAAGACGATTAGACGGGAGGGATTTTAATGCCGAGGCAAAATGCTTTAATTTCGCCAGCCTCTTTGTTCCGCTCTTAAGATCGTCCGCCGATGTATTTCCCAACCACCGCGGCGCTTGCTGCTCCGATGAATGTGGCCGACGCACGGTTGAGGTTCACATTCGAGTGATCTACGACGGTGGTGACGACGATGATGAGGATGATGATGATGATGACTGCCCCCCCCCCCCCCCCCTGCATCTCGTCTGGCAATGAGGGTCGCCCACGCTCACCCTCATTATTCCTCCTCCTGCACTCCGCGACTCCCCCTTTATTCCGAGCGACCTCACCTTGACCCGCTCTGTCAGACCCCCGTGCGTACGCCTCACTTGACAAATAAGGTGTTCCATTCTGTTGAATTGCTTTGCCTTAATTTCTGAGCCCGTAATGCCCCCCCCACCCCGCCCCCCTCCATTGTAGTCAATGGATGTTCCTTAGCCGTACGCAAACGCTGAGTATTCATGCGTGGGTTTGCTCTTCCTCCAACGGTGTGATTTTTCTGCAAAAGTTTTGATTCATGTGGGGGTTGCCGACCTTTTCGCGTGCGTCCGTGTGCAGATAATTTGGGAAAGGATCTCGCTTCTGAACGGTAAACAATGCGCACGAAATGCTGTTTGGGATCTTCCTTGCGTTGGTAACCAATGGTGGCCGATGCTGCTGAGATTAAAAGTTAGAAGTGGTGAATATATGAAATAAATGAAAGCAGAGTAATAATTCAAAGAAAAAAAACACAAAACACCACGGCACAAGTGATTAGAGTTAAGCACGAGGTTTTAAATCCATGGTACCAGCACCGTGGTTACGACAGCGGAGTTGGCGCTCCATGGGCAATTGAATGAATGAAGCAATGAATTACCAACAGCACCCTGAGAAAATCGTACATCAAGGATGCACGGCAGCAGATAAGCCGTCTTTAGGAGGTAACTCCAGCGGCCTTTGATGGATGAGCAAATGCCCGCAACGACACAAAAATCGGTAGCTTACTACGCGAAGATTATTCAAGTAATTAGCTCAGTCGTTAGGGGTGTGTGTGTGTGTGTGGCTCGCTCGGGAGGCTGACAAATATCTGTATTGAAGGGAAGCGTTGATTTGACTTAAGCTCGCGGTCACACGGAGAGACGGCGATCCTGCGACGGAGACGGAGGATGAGCAAACGCGGCTGTTCAATCAGTTCGGCAAGAGTGCTCTCGGTGTTTGGAACCTCACAGAGGACGAGGACGAGGTCTGTGTTCTGGAAGAGTGCTTTCATTGGATTGGATATGTCCTTAGAATCCCCAGATGGGAGGACTGCCGAGGTCAAGCTGCCCATCAGTTGGCGAACGTTAAGGAAGGAACGGGGGTGGGGAGAGGGGGGGGAGGGGTGCGTACAACCAATACGGTAGCCGGCGGTGGCGATTGCCGAAATGCCTCGGAGAGAATGGGGCGATAGCTCAGAGCGACCTCAAGAGTGCCGCGTGTCGCCCGCTACGAGGCACGCATCAGAAACGTGGACGACGTTTAAGAAAATGGAACGCGAGAGGAACAGGGCACGAGGAGGCTCAGAGAGGCGCAGAGCTTGGAATTACAATGAGAGGCAACGTGAGAAACTCACGCATTTAAGAACTTGCGCAGGTTACCGGCATCAATGTGACCACTTGACAGCAGTTTGTTGGGCAGGACACGTCACGGGATCGTGGCTGGTGGTATAGGCTACCGGCAGTGGGTAGCCAAGGAAAGGAAGAGATGTGAGAGGACATTCAACACAGAGATGGAGCGATGAACTCAGCTCATGTGCCGGCACTGGGCGGATTGCTGCGTCGCAATACGGCGTGAGATGGAGATGGCTTTGGGGGAGACCTTAACCCAGAAGTGGATTGACCGTGGCTGATGATGACGATAGCCTCAACACAGCACATCCTTTGAGAGGGTATTTCTGGTCACCTCAAGTGCCCTACGCGGAGGGCTTCATGGTCAGCCGAGTCTGTCACAATCCGTGAGCCAGAAAATATCGTCGCACCACATGGAGCAAAACTCTCGCTCCGTGGCCGTGGCGACGAGCAGGCGCGTGCCTTCCAGTCCAGTCGAGCGGCGAGCCAGACGATGTCCGGCGATAAACGAAAGCCTCGCGTGTACCGAGCGGTAGCTAACGCTCTGCAGGATAACCCCCCGCACCCGCCCCTTTGCGTTGCAGCCTAAAGACGGACGTCTCCTGGAGGACGTCTCCACGTCCGTGTCCCAGTTCGCCACGAAGGTGACGCGCACAGACTGCACCGCTCTCGCTCGCTCGCTCACCGTGGTCATACCGCACGGCGCACACCCGGTCGGTAGGACGAGGTGGACGGGGTGGGGGGCACTTTCAAACGCACACCGCCGCGGTGGCTTGCGAGAAGCTCTTGATTGGGTGCATGCTTGTCACGCGAATTTAGGACGGGCGTCGTTGGGTGCTCGCTCGTCTCCGTTGGTGTGTGCGCGCGTGCGCGACTTGATTTCGTGATTTCGTTGAATTCCATCTCTGGGAATAAAATATATATTTAGTACATCGGTTTGATTTGAGATACGACGAACAATTTTTTTTTTACGCATTTAGCTCGTCGCACTACGAAACCCAGTGACCTGAGTTCGATTCCCGGCCACGGCTAACGTCGGTGGCGGATGTCGGACCCCCAGTCCTGGATCTGGCGCGGCGTGTAAACATCAGACCAAGGCGGCCGGAGTGGTTCCGGCCACACCACCCCCTCTTCTGTCGCGCTGTGTCCAACGTGGGGTCGCTCTTTAACATCACTTGACTCGACAGTCTGTTGAAGGCTATACGGGGAGACATTTGTTCGTTTGTTCATGCAGTATATCTTTTTTTTAACTGGATCATTGCGTTTCATTAGGAATTCCAGTGCAAAGCCCGAGACGACTGAGTGTCTGTAAAAATAGACCTAATTAAAGAATAATCACGATTATGAAACACGTAGTATCATTGTCACGAACACGGGTGAAACGGAGAGGAACAGAGGCCTCGCATTTTGTCACGAGATTTAGTTCTCATATTAATTTGACTGAAGAAATTGTACCCGGCAAATTATGTTAGAAATGTCATGCCATGCCACAAACCCAGATGCTTGGGGCCCTGAAACTTTGTTGAGCACTCGATGGACGTGCTGGTTCAATGGGGGCCCTAAATATAAATTATTTTCGGGGGAGAGTGAGGGGGATGCCCTATCACTTTATACTATCCTAGCGAGATAACAGAAGAGATATAGACGAAAGATTGCAGTGAGATGAACGAAGAGAGAGATTCGGGCTAGATCGAGTTTGCAGAGATCGATTGGATATTTGCGTTCATGTTAATTACACATGCAAGGAACTAAACAAATACGCAGACAACTTACCTCCTTCACACGCCTGCTCCTCTCCACTTACAAAAAAATATATTATTTTTACACATCTCACACCTCCGATGAGCACGGCTGGCTTACGTACGGTGCGAAAGAAGCTCAACATCCACAGACGAGGACGTAACGTCTCGCGAGCCGAGCGGGCCTTCTGGGAGTGCGCAATTTCAGACGCGTTGGCTCCACACACACAGAAACAAGCACAGCTCCGTGAATTCGCTCTTTGTGTTTTCTTTGGGATGCTTTTTCATGAATCCGACATCCTCCCCCCCCCCCCAACTTGATCTACTTGGGGCCCTGAACTTTTGCTCGGTTCGCTTACGCCGAGAGTCGCCACTCTGAACGGCAAACCATTTGCATGGAAGGGACTGTGACAAAAGTGCACGTGAGAACTCCTCTTTAACAATACGGTATTCACGTGGAATGTAAGCTTGAAGGCGGTGAGTGGGGAGACACAATTGTGTAAGCAACGCCCTTTGCGAGTGTTTTTAACCATCGCGGCTCTGCGTGCAGTCTGCGAGCGCGGAGCGTTTCGCTAAGGGGTCGTCCATAAATGACGTCACGCACCTAGGCGGGGGGGGGGGGGGCGGGGTCAGACATTCGTGACGATGTGTGACGAGGGGGGAAGGGGGGGTGAGAAATGTGACGTCATATCAAAATGCGCAACTTTAAATAAATATAAACAACACGTTCTACTTAATTAAATATACTTTTTGATAAATGTCTTCTCCTACAACATCAGAGTGCAGCGGCACATTAAATACGCACTACAATGACATTAGTTTAAAGCGATTCGAATCATGTTTTTTTTTGGGGGGGGTGCAGAGCTTTGTGACGTCATATTTGAGGGGGGGGGGTCTGACTTTTTGTGACGCCGTGTGACGAGTGGGGGGGGGTCGAAAATCGTCCAAAATCGCGTGACGTCATTTATGGACGGCCCCTTATTGGCCGTGGCCTCTTCTTATTCTCCGCCGTGACGCTGAAGGCATTTGCGAAGGATGAATTCGTCATTAAAACAGCTTCGAAGCAAATGCGACTCCATTTAACAAAAGTCAACACGTTTACGGGCCGTCTGTTGAACCGGAGGGAACGGTGGCTCACCGGTTAGTCCACTGCTCTGCAAACCCGCTGACCTGAGTTGAACTCCTGGCCACGGCTAACGTCAGCGGCGAGTGATGTCTGACCCGATCCTTGCCCCGTCACCCAACCCGCATTGACCAGTGTGGTGAAGTATGGTCAAACAAACTCTGAACCGACCGACGTGGCGTGGGAGGCCTACGTCCAGCAGTGGATTGACAAAAGGCATGGCAATTGTTGTCCGCGATTTAATTGCGACGAAGACCGCTTCCGTTGCGATGGAAACGTCGTGGGGTTTTTTTTTTGGGCTTTAATTGTTTGTAATTTATTTTTAATTGTATTAAATTTTAAATTTTCTATCTACGTGACTTTACCGAAAGAACCAACAATGTGCATTAATCGTTTACCGCATCCGACGTGAGGTTATTGTGCTACGCAATTCTGAATGCCGACCGTGTTTTTTCTTTGTGTGTGTGTTAGGGATACAGTTCCATTTCCCGTGTTTGTTGCCTTTTCTGACCCAAGCCTCCTAAACAAAAGCGAGGCCCTGCGGTCACTCACGAGGCCCACTCACGATCCCTAAACAAACACCACCAAAACGAATCGAGCGCATTTCAAATGCGAGGCATTTCAAATCATCTCTGCGTTTTAGAAGCCATTGATTGGCATTTGCAAACGTCTAATTCGCGACTGTATTGGATGCTAAAAGACGAGATATATTGTTTTACTAATTTGTTGTCGACCTCTCGCGCTGTCGATGTTGGCGCTGCCTCCAGGCATCAACAAGCCGCAGATTCTTTGCTTCGTGCTCAGGGAGTTGCACCGCATTGTGAATGGAAGTGTGGCAGGCTGGCGGGCTAGGCTGTCGGTGTGGCTCATAGCTCATTGGCTGGCTGTGCGTGGCTATCTGTCCTATAGCTGTCAGTGTGCCTGTCTGTCCTATAGCTGACTGTCAGTGTGCCTGTCCGTCCTATAGCTGACTGTCAGTGTGGCTGTTTGTCCTATAGCTGACTGTCAGTGTGCCTGTCTGTCCTATAGCTGTCAGTGTGTCTGTCTGTCCTATAGCTGACTGTCCGTGTGCCTGTCTGTCCTATAGCTGACTGTCAGTGTGGCTGTCTGTTCTATAGCTGTCAGTCTGCCTGTCTGTCCGACAGCTGACTGTCAGTGTGTCTGTCTGTCCTATAGCTGTCTGTCAGTGTGGCTGTCTGTCCTATAGCTGGCTGTGCGTGGCTCTCTGTCCTATAGCTGCCTGTCAGTGTGTCTGTCTGTCCTATAGCTGTCTGTGTGCCTGTCTGTCCTATAGCTGTCTGTCAGTGTGGCTGTCTGTCCTATAGCTGGCTGTGCGTGGCTGTCTGTCCTATAGCTGTCTGTCAGTGTGTCTGTCTGTCCTATAGCTGTCAGTGTGTCTGTCTGTCCTATAGCTGACTGTCAGTATGCCTGTCTGTCCTATAGCTGTCTGTCAGTGTCCCTGTCTGTCCTATAGCTGACTGTCAGTGTGGCTGTCTGTCCTATAGCTGACTGTCAGTGTGGCTGTCTGTCCTATAGCTGACTGTGTGCCTGTCTGTCCTATAGCTGTCTGTCAGTGTGGCTGTCTGTCCTATAGCTGGCTGTGCGTGGCTGTCTGTCCTATAGCTGTCTGTCAGTGTGTCTGTCTGTCCTATAGCTGTCAGTGTGTCTGTCTGTCCTATAGCTGACTGTCAGTGTGGCTGTCTGTCCTATAGCTGTCTGTCAGTGTGTCTGTCTGTCCTATAGCTGACTGTCAGTGTGGCTGTCTGTCCTATAGCTGTCAGTGTGCCTGTCTGTCCTATAGCTGACTGTCAGCGTGGCTGTCTGTCCTATAGCTGTCAGTGTGCCTGTCTGTCCTATAGCTGACTGTCAGTGTGGCTGTCTGTCCTATAGCTGACTGTTCGTGTGCCTGTCTGTCCTATAGCTGACTGTCAGTGTGTCTGTCTGTCCTATAGCTGTCAGTGTGCCTGTCTGTCCTATAGCTGACTGTCAGTGTGCCTGTCTGTCCTATAGCTGTCTGTCAGTGTCCCTGTCTCTCCTTTAGCTGTCTGTCAGTGTGGCTGTCTGTCCTATAACTGACTGTCAGTATGCCTGTCTGTCCTATAGCTGTCTGTCAGTGTCCCTGTCTGTCCTATAGCTGACTGTCAGTGTGGCTGTCTGTCCTATAGCTGACTGTCAGTGTGGCTGTATGTCCTATAGCTGTCTGTCAGTGTGTCTGTCTGTCCTATAGCTGACTGTCAGTGTGCCTGTCTGTCCTATAGCTGTCTGTCAGTGTCCCTGTCTCTCCTTTAGCTGTCTGTCAGTGTGCCTGTCTGTCCTATAGCTGACTGTCAGTGTTTGTCTGTCCTATAGCTGACTGTCAGTGTGCCTGTCTGTCCTATAGCTGACTGTCAGTGTGCCTGTCTGTCCTATAGCTGTCTATCAGTGTTTGTCTGTCCTATAGCTGTCTGTCAGTGTCCCTGTCTGTCCTATAGCTGTCTGTCAGTGTTTGTCTGTCCTATAGCTGTCTGTCAGTGTGTCTGTCTCTCCTATAGCTGACTGTCAGTGTGCCTGTCTGTCCTATAGCTGTCAGTCAGTGTGTCTGTCTGTCCTATAGCTGTCAGTGTGTCTGTCTGTCCTATAGCTGTCTGTCAGTGTGGCTGTCTCTCCTATAGCTGTCAGTGTGGCTGTCTGTCCTATAGCTGTCAGTGTGTCTGTCTGTACTATAGCTGACTGTCAGTGTGCCTGTCTGTCCTATAGCTGTAAGTGTGGCTGTCTGTCCTATAGCTGACTGTCAGTGTGGCTGTCTGTCCTATAGCTGTCAGTGTGGCTGTCTGTACTATAGCTGACTGTCTGTGTGTCTGTCTCTCCTATA